ACCGCAGCGAATGTTGGCCGGTCTCCTCAAAGATGAAGAACCGATACTATGACAGTCCATTCTTTGGATGTCATCAAAAATATCGACAAACGGGGCAACAATGAACGGACGAATGGTAGATTTAAATATGGGCAGAATATGTTCTGGTGAGAAAAACAAGATAGTTTAAATGTATTCCACAAGCAATAAGTGCGAGAAAAGAAACTATTACAATAGAATCTACGGTTTCAACTAGCTATTTCAATAGCAAAACGATGAAACCAAATTTGCGGCATGCTTAAATTGCTGCAGTTGATGTAGCAAGATGGGCTTGTTAGAATAACAGCTATAAAAATATATTTATAGAAAAGACTACGTCACGACAATGCGAAATTGAATGAAATCAAAATGTCACGCCAGAACTGATACTATTACAGTCTATTCTTTGGATTTCATCAAGAATATCGAGATATATAGCAGGAACACCAGGACAAATGAGGCAACAATATTCAATGAACGGACAAATGGTAGACTGAAAAATGTGAAGAATATGTTCTGATGTGAAAAACAAGCTAGTGTAAATGAATGCTTGTAAATGGTCTGTGAGGAATTTGGTACAAGCATTACTTACAATTAAAAACAGTTTCTGTACTATAGATCGGTTCAAGAAAATATGTATGGTGTGTCAGTGAAGTAAGTCTTAATGTCAGTAAGCTGGCCAAGGACGCCTTCCAAAAGCTGGGCAGAGTATTGCGAGACAGGAGAATATCTTTGGTAAAAAAGAAAAGAATACTGAACTGTTACGTGACATCTGTCTTTCTTTACGGCAGCGAATGTTGGACGAGTTCCTCAAAGAAACAAGCATATTCTAAAGGAAACAGAATGCATGGTCATCATTATAAGGATGAGTCTGAATTGTGATTTGCAGGTCGGGAACACTAGAATCAAGTAGACGCAGAAGTTTAAATATCTGGGAAGATTCTTGACAGAGGACGGTAAGTATGACACTGAGATCCTTATAGGTAATGGAATGGCCAAGGACACATTACAAAAGCTGGGCAGAGTATTACAAGACAAGAGGATTTCTTTGGTAACAAAGAAAAGAATACTGAGCATTTACGTGACATCTATTCTCCTTTACGGCAGCGAATGTTGGACGTTTTTCTCAAAGACGAGGAAGAGACTTTAGGCGAAGAATGCTGAGTATATTATGGACCGTGCGTGTGAGCAACGATAAGATCTTGGATAGGATGCAAACAAGGAGGAATCTTATAACATCAGGAAGAGGCAGCTGAAGTTTCTGGGACATTTGAAGAAGTGGGAGGGCTTGGAGAATCTGATACTCACAGGTCGAATAGAGGGAAAGGGAGACAAGAGAAAGCAACGCGTGACATACCTAACGGGCTTGAGCAAGTGGATGATAGAAGATGCTCTGGGGTAGGTGGCAAAGTTACGAAACTTATTGAGAGTTACAAGTGATAAGGGTGGATTGGAGAGGCATGATCGTGTACGTCCTGAAAGGAAACTGCACATAAAAAGAAAGAAAAGAAAGATGCAATTAGCAATTAGGCCATAGCTGGGAGGAGGAAAGATGGATTCATACCTTCCTCAAGGGCATTTGCGCGTCAGTGAAGATAACAAACCCGACTGGAACTAGAACTTGGTTTTCCATTTTTCAATTCTGGGCCGTTATCTGTTACACCACGCATACAAATTCAAGCTTCAGCACCTGGTATATCCATGGGGACACTCATCTAGGTTCTGACTAGGTCCGGCGTTGCTTAACCGGTGATCCTACAAGAAAAGGCTTTTCAGCGTGACTGGGCCGTAAGACAGGAATCTCTGTACCACAATGATCGCTTACGTCCCGAAAAAATATGGGATTAAAAAGATAATAAGACATGCAAAAAAAAAGCGAAGGAAAGCAAGAAGAAAGGACTAAATATAAACTACACGATCTCAGAATGCATGGTTTTCATCAAAATGTTGAGCCCAAAATGCAAATTACAAATGGGGGATACTAAAAATCAAAATAATACAGAAATTTAAATATCTGGTTCTAACACAGGATATAACGTCCAGCACTAAGAACCGAAGATGTACTGGGATGGCCAAAGATGCTTTCCAAAAGCTAAGCAGGGTATTAAGAGACATAAAAAAAATCCGTTAGAAGCAAAGAAAAGACTACTGAAATGTTACGTAATATATGTCCTCCTGTATGACAACAAATGCTGGCCAATCTCCTCAAATTTGGTGCGGCATAGGGTCGAGAACATGAGGATCGGTGTGTAAATAAAAATAATGCGTCCCAAAAATAACAATGGTTTCTTTCTGATTTTAATTATACGTGTCCTTTTTGTTTCCACCATCTTGACGCCTTCCTAGCATTCCCAAAGCTAAGCACAGTATTAAGGGACAGGAAAATTCCGTTGGAAACAAGGAAAAGAGTACTTAACTGTTGCGTGATATTCGTCCTATGCTGAACAATCTCCTCAAAATGAAGAAGAAACTTGAAGGAAAAGGAATGTGGTTCTACAGTAAGATGCTGAGGATACCATGAACCGAACATGCGAGCAACAACTAGGTTTTAGAGAAAATAGAAACAAAAAGGAAACTTATATCATCAGGAAAAGGCAGTCGAAATTTCTGGAGCTTGTAATGAGGAAGGAAGGCTTGAAAAAACTGATACTCACATCACACTTTGAGGGGAAAGTGGGACAGAGGAAACATATTTTATGATCTTGAGTAAATCGATGGTAGAATAGGGCTTGGGAGAAATAGCCAAAAAAAAAAAAAAAATCTTAAAAGGGACAGGAAGATGTGGAGGGCCATGATTGACTATGACCTGAAGCGTAACGGCACGTAAAAGAAGAAAGTGTACACTATTTCTTAGGAATAGAAGTTATTAGTTGTCATTCTGTCAAAGATCATGTCATGACAGTAACATGATTTTTCTCGGGAGTATATATAACGATCAAATAAATTGCAGAGAAAATGTAATGTCTTTCCCAATGGATTAGAGAATCCACAGCTGAAATTTGAACATGGTTCACGAATCAAGTTTGCTTTGCTTTACTTGTTATTTACATTATTCGGACTATTGTCCTCATCTTTGTTGCTATATTTTTCACAACGTTTCGGCTGTTGTACGCTCCGGCCTTCTTCAGGTGGTTGGAATGTCGAAACGTTGTGATAAATATGGCAACAAAGATGAGGACAATAGTCCGAATAATGTAAATAATGTGCATAATACCTCATCTCAGAAATATAGACAGACTTTGCATTACTCCTATTTTGCAGATGGCATTTTTTCTTAAATTTAATGTTACTTTTTAAAATTAATATTATTTTTTAAATTAATGGCACTCATGAAATTAAATGGTATATTTAATGGTATTTTTTAAAAATTTAATGGTATTTTTTTTTAAATTAATGATATTTAAAAAAAAAAATTAATGGTTTTTGTAAAATTAATGTATTTTTTTTAATTTAATCGTATTTATTCCTGAATTCCTGCGGAAAACTCGGTCGAGTGTATCATAACACCTTAATATAGCAACCCAAATATTCCATGAAATTTTGTTTTTTTCTAATTTTAGATTTCTGGCTTTAGTTGCAAATAAGACGCCATTATATCTTAGATGTAACCAAATCCAATAGAATACCATGGTGCGGGTTCGGATACATCCATTAGGGCTGATATCGATAGCGCCGTGAATTAAATCTGAACATCTGATTATCAAATAGTTCCTTAGCAACGATCAAAACACATCCCTCCCGTTCGTTGCTTGCTGAAAAGTTTACGAATGATCCAATAATTGCGCTAATTATAATCTAACTCAGTCTAACAATAACAAAACGACTTAAAAATTAGTAAAAAATACTAATAATAAGTAAAGTGACACTGATACGTATCAAATCAGAAAATATCTTGCGTGTAAATGTAATATGAAATATATTCGGAAAATATATTATTGTGAGCTCTGTTGGTCAGACATTAAATGCACCAACTAACTCCCACTCAGAGCGGCAAATCCCCCCCACACCAAATACTCTAAATGATCAACTACCAATGAAATTATTATAGCCTCAAATATATACGAACTATATTCACCTTTTACTTTAAGCAGCCCACTCCAAGCAAATTCCACTAAGACACAAGGCCGTATAAAGAGTGAAAGAGGATGAAAAGACATTAGAATGAACTGAGAGACCAATCCTAAACAGGGAACACGGGATAAACTTCTTCTCCTGATTCAAAAGACCGTGGAGGAGTGTGATCCGGGTAATAAGCGAACCTATCTACTCAAGTTAAAGGAGAAAAAAATTAGTAAATAAAATTTCAGTGTTTAGACAGAGATGTTAGAGGTATAGATTTCAAGTAAACTTCAAAATGAATCGGAAACACAATCCTAAAGAGGAAACACGAGATAAAATTCTGATTCTCTTCAAAAGAACGAGAAGTGTGATGTGGACGATAGGCTAACCTATCTAGTCCTATTGATAATAAAAATAAAACGTTATTAGTAAATCAAATTCCAGAGTTCAAGCGAAGACGTCAGAAGTGTAGAGTTGAAGTAAACTATAAAAGGGACCGGAAACCCAGTCATAAACAGGAAACAAGCGATAAACCTCATTTCCGGTTCAAAAGAACGGAGAGGAGTTTAAAACGGACGATAGGCTAACATATCTACGCCTACCCCTATAATCATACATACATACATATACACTTACATATATATATATATACATGTATGCATATATCCTTGCATACTTACATGCATACAGACCAAGATAGCTAGTGGGATAGATATTTTTTTACGGCTTATAAATGTTTTGCGCGTCCTTTGAACCCAGAACATATTATATTTTGAGAGAGATAATATTAATTTACTGGTACAAATCCTACTAATTAACTCAAAGTTGCGACTAACAGGAGAGGTCATAACTTTCCCAAGGGTATTTGTGGGTTAGTGAATATAACGGACCCTACTGATATTGAAAACTAGTTGTTCCAATTA